GTAAAGGCAGAAGCACCACTCATGATTGGCTAAGTTACAGTGAATTCTCAGCTTTCAAGAATCACTGCTGTTACAGGCATTGATTGGAAAATAAAACAAAGTAAAATTCAAGCCATTTCTACCATAGTGAAATTTCATGTGGGTCATGTTGACTTATCCCTTCTGAGGTGAAGGGTAAAGTCATTGTATCTGGTTCCTCCTACAATCAAGTTAGAGGCAAAGCTTAGCAGGAATGTTTGATTTTTGAGGTAACATACTCCTCATTAGGATGTGTTACTTTGCCCATTTACTGAAGATCTGTTAGTTTTGAGTAGAGCCAAGAACAACTCTGCAACCATCCGATTCAGCAGAGCCACTGGTTCTTCAAGTCCTAGTAGCAGAGAGGGCTGTTGGTCCATAGATGTTGTACGACATAGATTTTTAAAACTTTGGAGCAAGGCCCTGATACCATCTTTTGGCCTGCTACTTTTGGCCACCTTAGTAGATAATGAGCATAAAATACTAGATAACCTGAAAGACTTATTATGAATAAGGTGTTACTGACCCACAAGACATAATGACGAGCCTCCACAGAAACACTCTACCATCAAATAGAAATGAGAGACACAGATACGGGCTCATGTAGATTGGAAGGGACAAGTTATGTAAAGAAGTTATTCAAACACCGATGATCCTCTATTTTGCCTTCTCTCTCCCTGGCTGTATCTGTGGTCTTATGGGAGAAAACCTGTTTCATATATGGCATACAACATGCAGCACTCAGGTGTGGCCACATACAGAACTGTTCTGCCTCTCTGTGACAGAGGTGAAGGGAAATCTTACTGGCACAAAGAACCTTGGACAGTGACCTTTCTGGTAACACTTTGCTTAGAAGAAGGAATAGCTAGGATATATGATTATATACTGATTTATGGACTGTAGCCACTGGTTTGACTTGACAGTCAATGACGTGGAAGTAACATGTTTTGAAAATGGGTGACATCAGTGCTCCTGGTTCTTAGGTAAGACTTACACACTGCCCACTCCCTTCCCAATTCTCAGGCCTTCACACTGGAGCTGAAATTTATTACTGGTGTTTCTGGTTTTCTGGGTTGCAGATATGACACTCTTGTCCTCCACAACTGTCTGAACCAATTCCTGTAAGAGCATATGATGGTATTGATCACATGTACTCTCTGTAGTAAAATATGCAGTGGTCCTAACACCCAGATGAAAAGGACTCAGAAGAGGGAGAGAGGGACCTATAAATAGAGTCTTCCTATCATCATTAATAGTGTTATGTTGAGCATATTTAATTTATTCTTGATAGCCATGGGGAGTTTTTACAACAGAGAATGATTGGGCCATATGTAATAAAACAATGGCTTTCAGTTTGTAAAAGGTATGCATGGTTCCTTAATGAACTAGAGGATGGCAAGATAGTTAGTACTGTGTACCAGGCAGTGGATGGGTTGTGATTATCATAGTCTACTTCACTATTAGTGAAGGTTGTCTAAAGGTTGTCGAAAGCATCTGTAATATTAATATGAGATGCAGTTTATAGCAACTGCTTGTTAGTATTGGCCCTACTGCTTACCAGCTAGGAGACACCGGCAGGGTTACTTCTTTCCGTCAGGCTCATGTTTTCCTTTGTAAAAGGCTACAGCAGGAAAATCTTGCTAAGAGAGTTGTGAGGACAAAATGAGATAGTCCATACAAGCCTGGCACAATGCTTGGCACTTAAATCCTCTAACCATGAAACCTTAGCATATCCTGTTCTTCTATATGTTTTATAAGTTAAGGAGAAATGAAGAAGGGAGATAGCCAAGCATATTCAATTAATATTTTTACTTGTATAAAGAGGCTCAAGTCTCCGAGTAGGTAGGAGGACTTGGAGAGAGACCAGTGAAGATTTGAGGGGAGCTAATGAGAGGTGAGGTGAATGTGGGGACCGCCCAGTGAGGGTTCAGTCATCCAGGGGCTGACCAGTTCTGTCTGTGGAAATCAGGAAAGGAATAACGAATTTGCAAAAATTCTTTTAAAAAGGTGAGGAATAAGAGGAAAGAGTAATGGAGGAACTACATTTGATCTGAATGCATTTATATGCATTATGGAAGTGGCACCATGAAACCCATTTGTATAATTAACATACACTAATTTTAAATTTTTTTAAAGTAAAACTTCACAAAAGGTGATTTTTACTCAGCTTGAAAACGAAAGGGTTTTAAAAATCAGTATGTAAGACAGCCTCTCCGTCCTCAGAGTGTGACAGTGAACTTCAAGCAGTCCACCTGTTATGTATTGTTAGATTAGCATCTTTGATAAAAATCAGAAGAGCTGCAGAATGTACCTACCCTTTTAGATATGATAATACACCTTCAGTCTTAAAGTAGGGTAGAAAGTTAAATGACTACTCTGAAATTCTGTTTCTTAAATACTTCTGCCTGTTCATTTAAAAATTGACCATCACTGCCAGCCCTTAGTGATAGCCTCAGAGATTGAAAAGGCTGGAGAGGCCCACCAGTCCAGGAAGAAATCGTTCCAGGGCCTTTTTGGCTGTTTTGGCTTTTCCTTAAATGTCAAGAGATAACTTCTTTCCAAGGCAAGGTTAGCCAGTGCCCTTGACACCCGCCCTACACCACGGGCCATGCTTACATTGAATAGAACTGAGTCTCACACAGCACATGGCCTTCTTCCCTGAAGTAGTGGCTCCTCTGATCATTCATCCCTTGCATTTTCTCTAAAGGACATGTAAACATTAAGTTAATGTTTTTGTAAGGATAAGTCAATTCTTATGTTAACACCCTTTACCACCTTCATTTTTACTCCCTTAAAAGCACCCTGATTGATTAATTCAACATTATTTCTCCAGTCAGAAAACATTATATATGTGCTAACTATATATGTGCTAACATATATATGTGCTAACTATAAACTTTTACAGACTATTGTTTATAAGTAAAGCTTCATGCTTTACTTTCCCATGCTGGATAAGCACGGGAATGACAAAACAAAACAAAAAAATCACAACTATTTGGCCAGGTACTACCTTAAAAAATATGAACAAAATTAGCTTATCCAGAAACAAAACAAAGCAATAAGACCTACACCCCCCCATCCCGCTACAGCTCTACACATCTGCATTCCTATAACTGAAAACAAAACTTTAGATGTGCTAATTCTTCCATGTATAGTTCAGGCAAAGGGTGGACCAATTCAGCAGTGAAACCCACTAGACACTATATTGGAAATGATAAGCTATGCAACTTGTGGCAGTGGGTGGGGGGAGTCAGGAGGGGAAAACCTGGGAGACAATGAAGGAGGGTGACACTGTTCAAAAGGAAATGTACTCACTACCTGACTTATTTAACGAACCCCTTTGTACACCACCTTTACAATAAAATTGTTAAAAATCTAAAAAAGAACAAAAAAGATCTTAGGATCTCCCTGTTGAGGTATGTCTTGAGCCACTCTTATCATACCTAGCTGCTTAAGCAGTTGGTGAGCAGAACTGGACATTTCTTAGAAGAGATCTTCAGTTGTATTTTCAGTGCATTAGTCAGAAACATAATCAAATGCATGTCCTTTAGTCTTTACAAATGATTTATGTGGAAACAGAATAAAGCAGTATTTTTTAATGGCTAGTTTGTAGATCTGGGTGTGCTATTTAAAGGACTAGAGAAGAAACTGTATCTCTTCCTGCCTTTAATGCACAGGTCCAGGGCAGTATGAGCAAGAGCCAGAATCTCCACCATGGGGCACATAGGCAACTGAATACAGTATCTATGTATGAAGCCATGAGCAAGCAGGCAGGAATCACAATTCATACGTAAAGAGTGACTGCTAGATGCATAAGAAAGGAAATGGAGGGGGGAATATAGCTTAGAATATCGGAGCTATTCTGGGAAAGAGTAAGAAAAGCAGTATGATCAAATCTAATATTGTTCCATGTTTCACACTGTTCTTGAATCTGTTCTGAAAACAAATCTCTCTGCATCCTTGATGCTCACATTGCAAATTGCAAGGTAGTAATTCATTGTTACCAGACTATACACCTTATACGCTGGACATTTTTCAGATGCTATGAATAATTTGATGTTCTCAGCCAGCCATTAGTACATATCTATAATTGAGGAAAGTCTGGGAAAAAGCTATGAGATCCATTACCAGAAACAAGCTGGCACATAACTGTCATCCCATATATTCAGAAAATGGAGATAGGAGATTCCAGTCAGAAGCAAGTACTGACTAAAACACTAACATAAACAAACTGAGCTGGGTGTGAGTAGCTAAATCCTATAGCCCTAGCTACTCAGGACACTGAAATTTGAGGATCACAGTTCAAAGCCAGCCTGGGGAAGAAGAGTCCATGAGACTCCTATCTCCAGTTAACCACCAAATAGCCAGAAGTGGAGCTGTCTCGAGTGGTAGAGCACTAGCCTTGAAAAGCATCACCCAGGGCTTGTGTTAACCCCAGGACTAGCACAAAAAACAGATAAATGAAAAACTAAACCAGCCAAAAGACTGGAGTAGGGCTCCAGTGGTAAAGCCCTTGAGCATGAAGCACTGAGTTCAATCTGCAGTATTGCAAAATAATAATTCTAATAGTAATTTCTTAGTCTACTCAGTTTCTGGCAGATCTTGAAAAGATGTTAATGTTCATCTGTTCTACTTTTTTCACTTCAGAAAAAAATATTTTCTGAGAAATCTCACAGTCAAATGACTTTCTACTATCAGTAACATTGGTGTTTACTTCTATGGTCCCAGTGTTTTGTCTCTTCTTCTTTTATCCAATATACTCTCCTAAATATTGTCATGTAATGGTACAGGAAGTAGAGTCTGGGGAACATTGTGTCTTCAACCCAAGGTATGATGGAATGTGGGAGTTCGTTGTTTCTAAGACAGGCTCACAATGCAATCTACACTAGCCCTAAGTAGCCATTCTCCTGCCTCAGCCTCAGTTAATTTTCTCACAACACTTCTAATTAAACAGCACTGGTGACTTTCTATTTTTCTTTCAGATTCTGAACTTGCCTTGATGTACAACGACTCCTCTGTCTTAGAAAACCATCATTTGGCTGTGGGCTTTAAGTTGCTACAGGAAGAAAACTGTGACATTTTCCAAAATTTGACCAAAAAACAAAGACAATCCTTAAGGAAAATGGTCATTGACATTGTAAGTAGCTGATTAAAATAAAACTAAAGAATTGTTACTGGGCACCAGTGGCTCACACCTGTAATTCTAGCTACTCAGGAGGCTGAGATCTGAGGATCTCAAAGTTCAAAGCCAGCCTGGCAGAAAAGTCTATGAGTCTCTTATCTTCAAAACACAACTCATAAAACCAGAAATGGTGCCGTGGCTTAAATGATAGAGTGCTTTAGCATTGAGCTGAAGAGCTGAGGGACAGTGCCCAGGCCCAGAGTTCAAGCCCCACAACCAACCAAAAAAAAAGAATTGTGTTGCCAGGTGCCAGTGGCTCACACTTGTAATCCTAGCTACTGAATAGGCTAAGATCTGAGGATTGTGGTTTGAAGCAGCCCAGGCAGGAAAGTCTGTGAGACTATTATCTCCATTTATCCACCAGAAAACTGGAAGTGGCCTGTGGCTCAAAGTGGTAGAGCATTAGACTTGAGCACAAAAGCTCAGGACAGCCCCTGAGTTCAAGCACCATGACCACCACCACCAACAAAAACCCTAATTGTATTGCAAGGATTTTTGTTCTTGTTGCTGCTTGCTTGTTTTAATGGCCCAATAAATACTTTCTAGTCCATAGAAACAAACAAAAAAAACCCAACACGGAAAATGTGATGATTATGGCGATGTTTCCAGCTGTACTTTTTTTTTTAACCATGAAAATGGTTCTCAGTGTTGTGTTGTACCTGGGCTTTCAGAAAAGTTAACAGTTAAAAAAAAAAGACTCTGCCCTAAGTAGAGTAATTTCCACACACTTTCATTAGAAGTCAGGGTACTTTTATTCTCACTTTCTGACAGGAAAATTAATTAACTTAACAAATTGTTCTTTGTTCCTTAAGGTTCTTGCGACAGATATGTCCAAACACATGAATCTGCTGGCTGATTTGAAAACTATGGTTGAAACTAAGAAAGTGACAAGTTCTGGGGTTCTCCTTCTTGATAATTATTCTGATAGGATTCAGGTAAATCATTGATTGATGTGTGTGTGTGTGTGTGTGTGTGTGTGTGTGTGTGATTGATTGATGTGTGTGTGTGTGTGTGTGTGTGTGTGTGTGTGTGTGTGTGTGTGTGTGTGTGTGTGTGTGTGTGGCCCCATGTAGAGAAATACATTATTTCTCCCATCTTGCATTTTTAGAAACTATAGGCAGGATTGCTAAACACATTCTTAATCCTGACAACAAATTATTTAATTTCTTATTGGTATTTTTATTTGTCTGTACATTTTTAAAAAACACAAAAACTTAACACCCCATAAAGCCCTCTACATAGTTAACCCTGAATTTAATCAACTAGGCACATAAAGGTTCTCTTTTGATACTTAGATGACTTAAAAGTGGCATAATTTGTAACTATTAATATAAGTGTGAACCACACGCAGGCACACCATGGTTGGGCTCTTTGGATATATCTTGCACTATGCATATTTTTAGGTGTCACAGTCAACTCATGTGAATTCCTAGATTTTTTTTTTAAACTGAGGAGCAGGTGCTGAGTAAAGAATGCCTCCATCTATTTCAGGTCCTTCAGAATATGGTGCACTGTGCAGATCTCAGCAACCCCACGAAGCCTCTGCAGCTGTACCGCCAGTGGACAGACCGGATAATGGAGGAGTTCTTCCGCCAAGGAGACCGGGAAAGAGAGCGCGGCATGGAGATCAGCCCCATGTGTGACAAGCACAACGCATCTGTGGAAAAATCACAGGTAACGTATGATGCATGAGGTATGGAGAGAGAACAGAGTTACAGCTAAGTGCAGCATTTGGTTCCTTTGTAGTAGCAATCTTAACAAATATCTGGGGAAAGAGTCTGAAGTTTGGTTTTGACGAGTTCAATTTCACCTAATTTAGGATCCAGAACCCATCAGTCTTATGATTTGTATCTATACACAAGAATGTCATGCATATATTCTTATGATATTATATTTGTTTATGATGATCATAGTCATGTAGTATATTCATATAGTGAAAGTACTTATTTCATTTATCTGGACTTTTCCTACAAATTGACCATTAGTAAGGTCCAGGATCCATAGCCCACTGTGTAAGTGGAAATTTTTTCATGATTAACTTATGTGCTCGCGTGCACGTGTGTGTGTGTGTGTGTGTGTGTGTGTGTGTGTGTGTGTGTGTTGGTATGGGGCTTGACTCAGGGCCTAGGCACTGTCCCTTAGCTTTTTCTCTCAAAGCTGGTGCTCTAGCACTTGAGCCAAAACACCACTTCTGGCTTGTTAGTGGTCAATTGGAGATAAGACCCTGTTGGTCTTTAATGTCCTGGCTAGCTTCAAACCTTAATCCTCAATCTCAACCTCCTAAGTAGTTAATGAGCCATTAGGGCCCACCTAAGTAAACACCCTTGAACTAAGGATTCTAGTAAGTAATTTTTACCAGCTAGTAACAATAGTTTTATATGATCTGTTGCCTCAAATAAGGACTATTTTACCAAACTAAGGTCAATAGTGTTCCATTCAGTGTTGTATTTGTGAGCCATGATCTAGTTAACCTTTTCCATTTTTTTCTTAGTCCCATTTCTGTTTTGTTTTTTTTTTTTTAACTAGGTGGGCTTCATAGACTATATTGTTCATCCACTCTGGGAGACGTGGGCAGACCTCGTACATCCTGATGCCCAGGACATTTTGGACACTTTGGAGGACAATCGGGAGTGGTACCAGAGCACAATCCCTCAGAGCCCCTCTCCTGCACCTGATGATCAAGAAGAGGGCCGGCAGGGTCAAACTGAGAAATTCCAGTTTGAACTAACTTTAGAGGAAGACGGCGAGTCAGACACGGAAAAGGATAGTGGAAGTCAAGTGGAAGAAGACACTAGCTGCAGTGACTCCAAGACTCTGTGTACACAGGACTCAGAGTCTACTGAAATTCCCCTTGATGAACAGGTAGAAGAGGAGGCAGTAGCAGAAGAAGAAAGCCAGCCAGAAGTTTGTGTCATAGATGACTCTTCTCCTGATACGTAACAGTGCAAAGACTCTCACACCTTTTTGTTTTGTTTTGTTTTGTTTTTAAGTAGAAAAAAATCATTGTTTCCAAAGTGCATGTCACATGCCACAACCATGGTCACACCTCACTGTCATCTGCCAGGACCTTTGCTGAACAAAACTGACCTTGACTACTCAGTCTGGCGCTCAGGAATATTGTAACCAATTCTTTTCACCTTCCCATGTCTGGAGAGCAAGGGGGACATCTTCATAAGCAGCATTTTAACCTGATTTCAGCTTCATAGAGCTGACAAAGCAGATAAAATCAACTCCAAAATGTTTGTAAGGGAATGTGGCTCATCAGGCAGCCCAAAAGTGGAAAAGACTTGGGGTTCCTTTTCTCATTTGTGTGTTACATTTTCAGAAATAAGGCATTTCACAGGTGGAGTGAACTCAATTAATAAAGCAACAACAACAACAAAATGTCTTGAAGGGGACACAGCATGAATCTGTTCCCAGAAGGAGTATGAGCCACAGGAATTGCATAATTTTCTAATTTCAAGTCTTCCTGATACGTGACTGAATAGTGTGGTTCAGTGAGCTACACTCACCTCTACATTTTGTATGATATGTAAAACAGATTTTTTGTAGAGCTTACTTTTATTATTAAATGTATTGAGGTATTATATTTAAAAAAAAAAAAACTCTGTTCAGAACTTCATCTGCCACTGGTTATTTTTTTCTAAGGAGTAACTTGCAAGTTTTCAGTACAAACCTGTGCTACACTGGATAAATCTAATTTACGAATTTTACCTGCACCTTTACAGTTCATAGCAATTAACTGATTTGTAGTGATTCATTGTTTTATATACCAATGACTTCCATATTTTAAGACAAAAAAAACCTTATGTTGCAGGAAACCCTGTTTGTAAGTCTTTGCTTACTTGCTTTTTATTTCACTATTTCCTAGTCAACAGAGTTGCTCTCTACCAATGTCTTTCTTCACAGTGTCCAAAGTGAATATTCTGTAATATTTTGATGTGCATTATGTCAAATGTGTCTTAAGTCTCATAGAAACTCAATCATCAGTTGGTGTCTGAATCAAATGGAAGATGTGTAAATACCCAGTAGCTAACACAGTCTGTCTTTTTTAGGTATTTTCCCACCTACTGTCTTCTGATGACTTTTTGCTGTGTCAAGAGGCATGCATTTCACCAGTGCATGTCTTTGTAATAACCTACACATTTCTCATCTGTATTTTTTAATAGTCTGTTATAGTGAGAAAAGCATTTTCCCTTCATGCAGCTTTATTATTTAATGTGTGCTTGAACTAATATCCATGCCCACTTGGTGGCATCTTACCAAGTATGTCACCACCGTTCTTATTGATGATACAGTCAAGTCAGGGTTAGCATTCATTTCTACCATGCAGTTGTATGTCATGACTAGCTTTTACTCTGAATTACAGAAAAAATTAACAGCTAGCTAGGTGATTTTTGTAAAGTCCTCAAAGAATATATTAACAAACACCAGTACTCTTCTCTCATTTCTGTGACTTCACCATTGGATTTAGAACTACATGAGGAATAATTCAGGGAAGAGATTGGAAGTATAGCAGCTACTCTTTCTTAGTGGATAGCTGTGTAACATGTAGGAATTGCTTTATCACTTATCTTTGACCCATAGGCATGTTGTGTGGGGTGGAACTATTTCTAAAAACACAGTAAGGGGAGAGCAATTAATGCCAGCAACACCAGAGGCCTGGTCATGTGATACAGTATAATGTTGGGCTGGTCAAATGGTTCTGCCTAAAGATTGGAGCTCACTCTCAACTGATTTCAGCACCAGAACTATACTGGCATTTTGGAGAAAAATCATTTATATAGAGACTTCTGAGGACTACTAATAATCCTCAGGCACAGAATTGATCCACAGTGAACACAGTTCCCAATTCCAGTCTTCAGAAATCCAACAGCTGTTCCTTTGTTAGAGAAATTATTTCTCAGATCTTTTACTTGGTCCAGAATCAGATTCTACTGATTAATTATAGGGTTTCCACACACTTTCCCTTTTAAAGATCAAACAGAGCAATCTTTCAGATAGAAGCCTATGTCTGACCAAATGGTTTCACAAGAACACCTGGGACCTTGCTTCTCTTTGTATTCGTCCTGAGGGGCGGTCTAGAAGGAAAGACAGAGTCTAGGACTTACCCCTCTTTCCAAATTGTGCTCATTTCCTTCCCCACCCTATACTTGGTGTTTGCCCCCCACAGAGTGCCTGGAATCTTTATAATGAAAAAAATTTAAAGCAGCAATATGTCATAAACGAAACCTGAAAAGTTTGTAACTGCACTAATGGAAGCTTTTTTTCCAGTTTGCTGGCTTTTAATGGTACCATGTTGTAACACCCATCAATGGACAATCAAATTGCAGGAAAACACCGTAAGATCCAAGATTTAAGGACTAATGCATGATTCAGTCTGCTTACCCTCTTCCTTCTCTCCCCCTTTGCACTCTCTTCCAGCCCTGTGCTCACCAAAGTGTGCTTCACAGGTACACACTGCTGAAAAACATACATCCTTATCCAAATAGCTTTACATTTCCTAAAATGCCATAAGAAAATGTAATATCTGGGTACGGAATAAGGGGGCAAGTCCCAAGTTTGCATAAGACAAGTACATTTCAGCTTGCAAGTTACTGAACACAAAAAATGCTATTTGGATTTTGTTTCACATCAGTTAAAAGTTACAAGAAAATAATGTAGATAGAATTAATTGCAGACAAGGAAAGAAAAAAAAACTTGAATGAAGTGGATTTTACAGAAAGCTTTATGATAATTTTTGAATGCATTATTTATTTTTTTCTGCCATGCATTTTTTCTCACCAAATGACCTTACCTGTAATACAGTCTTGTTTGTCTGTTTACAACCATGTATTTATTGCAATGTACATACTGTAATGTTAATTGTAAATTATCAGTTCTTATTAAAACATCGTCCTGTGATGGGATGGTGTTGATATATTTGGAAACTCTTGGTGAGAGAATGAATGGTGTGTATACATACTCCTTGTACATTTTTCTTTTCTTCTGTAATATAGTCTTGTCACTTTAGAGCTTGTTTATGGAAGATTCAAGAAAACTATAAAATACATAAAGATATATAAATTTAAATAACATAGCTGCAGGTCTTTGGTCCCAGGGCTGTGCCTTAACTTTAACCAGTATTTTCTTCTCTTTTGCTGCATTTCAAACTAAGGTCATGGTAGGCTAGGGCTGAGCATTATATATCCAAACTTTAAAATGATTGGATTTCTGGCAGTTGCTAGGTTTGACAAAACCCATAGATCACCTCTGAAGGATCATGTGACCCTTTTAAGATATAAGCTTTAAAATACTTCTTGCCAACGAGTGATCTTGCGTGGATGGTGACTTTTTCCAGCTGTCAAGCAGGAGCTACCTTTGCTTTTTACTTTCAAACATGACTGTGGGAATACTCCTGTCCAATGATTATAGAAAGGCCCTTTGTTTTCTAGGGATCACAGGAAATGGAACTTGTTTGGAACTAGAGTCAACTCATCTTGGTTTATCTGCTCACCAACTTTCTATCATGTAAAGAAGCTGTACATTATGAAAAAGCTCATTGGTTTATTTCTTGAATTTTTCTCTTAAGAACAACCGAATTTCCAAATGTATGTAAATCCATTTATTTCAACACTAAGTTATCTATGTTGCCAGTTCACATAAGTAACTCTTCTCTAAAACATGATTCTGTAAAACATGCATTCATTTAGCATTTTTAAAAATTTACATTTTCACAGTGGTCAGCTCCTGACAGCCATGGAAAATTCTGAGTAAATAGTGTGGAAATCACTTCTTACTGCTGCTCAGCCCTTGGGACATGTGACGTCAGTGAAAGGAAGGATACTTTTCTAGGAAAAATGAGCCTCCTATTATTTTATTTTATTTTGACACAAACTGTAGATTTTAGCAGCCCTGGCCCAAAGGAATTTGATTACTTTTGTTTTAAACAGTATAAATGGGACACTACAATTACAAAATACATCCTTACTGATTTTATTTTTTTTAATTTTTATTTCTTTGGATATGTTTTCAGAGTGGTAAATTGTGTGTGAGCATTACAAATGATGATTCTTTTAGTAGTTTCTTAGCCTCTCTTACAGCCCATGGGGATAGTACTGTACATCGATACCTTCCTATGAAATTTTTATATGCAATGAAAATAAAAGCATGGGTTGATTCTGCCTATTTATGATTTGGTCTTTTATAAACAAAAGATGGTTGGTTTCAATTGTAATGCAATAAGCACATATTTCAAAAAGTAATGAACATTGACAAAATGAGATTACATCATAAATTTGTATGGATACTTATAAGCTGGTGAATCCAAGTTATGTTGCAATATTAAAAAAATCTCCAAATAACTTATGTGGCCTATAAGATCAAACACGGTTTTCTAAACTGGTGTAGGAAGGGACTTTCCCCATTTAATTGAATTATTTGATACAGTGAAAGTTATTCAGACATTTAACAGGTACTTGTCAGAAACCTACTCTGTAAACTATAAGCGTCTAAGGATTCAACAGTTAAATGAAACATAGTTGTTATCAAGAAGATTATAGTCTGAAGGGGACAAAGGAATTAAATGTCCAATGCATGTATCATTAGAGTTTTGCTCAACGTAGTGAAAAAGCTCAGTGCTGTGATCAAGAAGGAACCTGAACTTGACCATTATGAAAGACCAGAGAAAGCTTGCTGGAAAAAAAAATGATTTGAGACTCAGCCTTAAGGACAATAATAGGTCTTTAAGGGAAAAGATGATAGGGACAGAAAGGGGTTTCCACCACGGGAAAATTCTCTGATGTTCAAATGAGTTTGAAATTGAAGGAGGGCTTGCAGTGCCTAGAGATATGAGAGCATTTCTAATTATCCTGTGTAAAACAGCACTCCTGCCCCATTACTTGATCTCACCTCGTTTTCTTTCCATCAAAAACTGATAAGCACATTTGCCAATATTTTGTCTGTCTCTCCCTGCAGGAGCAACTCCCAAGAGAACTAGATCTTTGCCTGCTAGAATATTACTAGCACTTAAAACTAGTCTTGAGATATAATAGATTCTTGTACTGTGATGCATATGACCACAAAGTTGGCAACGATTATGCAGTCATGCCTTAGTGTCCATGTAGCCATGCATGATTGGTACCGGCAGGGAAACACATTCTAAGGATGCACAAATTGCTTATATGTAACTATGGGGCAATTTTATATAATTTGAGAATATTCTCATGTACTTTAAATTCTCTCTATATTACTTGCAAACTCAGTACAAGGAAAAGTTAGTATATGGTACAGACATAATTGTTTTCTGAATTCTTTTTGTTTAATTTTTTTGTGGGGGGGGGGTAGTGGAGGAAAGAAACCCTGTGCTTGGGACTGTCCCTCTTCTTTTTTCTTTTTGGCAATAAGGCTATTTTCTATTATAAGGTAGTTTGACAGCCTTTATGACATTCTTGATGGTTCTTTATATCTAAAGATATGTTGTGCCAATGTCACTATCTGAGTTCTTTTATCTAAGATCAGAGTTTTAATATTTTTTTACTTATTCAATAAATGTGACAAATAGGTGATACATTAAAAGACATAATTAATCAATTCAAAAATAACCCAAAACAACGCAAACAATAGATGGATATTATTTTTTATCCTATCTGCTATTCTTCTTCTGATTGGAGAATTGAGTCCATAATATTTAGGGTTATTTTAGAGAGATGTGTCATGTTTCCTGCCATTTTCTCTATTTCCTATATTTTGCTTTTTTCCTCTTCCTGTGTCTACTAAATTGATGTAATAATTTTTGTCTGATGTGTTTCTTTGATTTTGATCTTGTTTCCTGAATCTTTTTGATCCATGATTGACTAAATCCACACATGCAGAATTCTTGGATGCAAAGGATGAGCATGATGATGTTCTGATAATGACATTTTGTGATCTTGGTTCTTTTTAACCTGATACTATAAAAATATTATTCCAGTTGTTTTATGTTTGGTAGTCTTGGATAAAGACAGTTTTGAGTTTTTAACCTGTTGATGAAAACCTGTTTGTTTGTTGCTCACAAACACTGTCTTTTATATGAATGAAAACCAAACTTTTCTCCTTATAAATGAAAGGGAAGGGCATGGTGGTACAGTGCATATAACCCCAGCATTTGAAAGTCTGAGCAGGAACATCACAAGGTCAAGGCCCCTTTGAGCTACGTAAAGACTTTTTTGCAAAGAAAAACTAAAGTATAAATTTAATCCCCAGATAATGCTCAAACCATAGCCAACAGATTATGGATAATTAAACAGAATAATGTTAGTCACTGCACTATTTTCTCCAGCCGTGACAAAGAATAGTTACCATACCCAAGAGGTGTCCAGTGTGTGCCTTCCAGGAAATACTTAAAGTCACATTCTCTTTCCAAGGCCCATGACTCTAAACTGATAAATGATTGGACAAAAGAACCTGTTCTCCTCCTTTCCCTACTTAGTCTACATCCTTTCCCTTAGTCTACATCCCCATGCAACTAATTTGTTTGTGTTGAGTCAACTCAAGTTCACATTTCTGACTAATCTCTGGTCTTTTTTCCTATACTGCGCAGGTTTGGACCCACAGCAGCAAAATCTCACAAACTCCTAAACCTATTGCCGACAATACTTTTCCTAGTTTCCATTTTTTTTCTATTTGCTGATTTCAATGCTGGTTTTTTCCAAACTTTTCTCATGTCTCCAACTATTTAATGTCAAATTCAGTGTAAGGGATACAAATTTTAGTCATGAATTTGGGTGTATAGGAAATACTACTTTCCTTTTAATTCTTTTGAGTTGTGTTCTTACTTTGTCAACCTGATGGAAATTTCCATCTCTATTGTTATTGGAACATTTTCTCCCCTCCTTCTCTTTCTCTCCCCCCAATAAAGAAGTTTTCTTAGCACTAAGCAAGTTGGCGTACTAGAGTCTAGACTGTGTTGTTCCAGCTCTTATGGCTCATTGATTCTGCCTAATAAGAAAGAAAAGAATGTGATGAACAGAAATGTATGCAAAAGCCAGGAACCCTGGTTTGGGGTTTTGTATTTTTAGTCTCATACAGTGTATTTGTCATGCTATTGCCTCATAACTACCTTCTAATGTTGGTATGGCAATGGTCCTCTGAGAAATCATGTCTTGAAATTCTTGCCCCTAAAATTATTATATCTAAATAAGAGACCTTTAGAAAATGATGCCTAGGAAGATCAATTGACTTGGCTAAGATTATACACCAGATAAATACTGAGATCTATAAACTACAAATGAAATAGGCTTTTTGTCACTGTCTCTGCCTCCTGTTTGTATGACCTACTCACAAAAAGCAACCCGGACCACTGAGATGCTTTTGAACTTCCATTGAGTATGCTTCACCACAGATCATTGCCATCAACCAAAGTTAAATGACATGTTAGTTCATGTTTATCTAATTTATCTACCCTACCCCTTCATCACCTTAGTATGTAGTTAGAATTACCCAGAGCAGGAAGATCTAGGATAAAATATTAGCAATAAAAGGATGAAAGGAGAGTTTTATCCCCTTTATACAATTACCTAATAATAATGTGATAAGAAAATGAAGAGATGAGATAGTTGTGTTTCTCTGACCATGGAAGTAGAAGGGTCATGCTACAAAGTAAGATTTTAGTGGCCTCCTTGCAAGGTCTTTGTACTGATGGAAGGAATGGGGTTAAGCCTGCAATAAGCATCGGATGAAGTCTCTCTCACTATCATATCCATTCAGGATAGGATTTGCTGAATACTCTAAAGGCCCGAACCAACAGACATGGCTGTAGAATCTGAACCATGGCATTGCGTTGTCTGAACTCCCCTGTTGGCTGAGAATTGCTTTTCTTGAGTATCTTGTTTGGGAAAAGAGCAGCAAAACAAAGCAAATTAAGTATATAGAGGTAAACATTCAGTACCCTGGCTATAAAATGCACTGTTTTAACCCTGAGTCTTTATTAATTGGAGAACCAAGCAGTCTCTCACCTTAGAGCTTCTTAACACTTCGCTCATTTTCTCCCTAGCACTAGTCTCTCTTTTTCACTGTTCATTTACAGTTTCTGGGCGGAGAGAGACAGAAAAAGTCAGGCTGCTCCAACCTTGTCCCAGTGGGTAAGACAAAGAATAGATACAACATTCCTCTCTACCCTTGCAGAAGTCAAGTTCACGGGGCGGGGAAGGAGACCTAGGATAGCTGACACAGTCCAGGCCACTGTTCACCTCTGAAGACTCGCAGCTACCCATCACTGGAGACCCATGGAACTATATATCAATGAAAGAATATCATTGCAAACATTCTACAAATTCTTGCCAGGATCAGTGATTGAAATACCAAAAAAAGTAATCATAATCATAATAAGCTGGGAAAGTTAAAAGCAAGTAAAGGTGAAAGAAAAAGAAAATGGAGGAAATGTGTAAGAAAGGATGGAAAGGTGAACCCTCTACTGCCATCACATACAAGAATGGTGATGGTATGGATCCCCAGAGGATAGAGCTCATAGTTCTTAACAATACCTAAGGCCTGAAGGATCTCAGCAAACTAAATTGCCCTTGACCCCTCCTGTCAGTCATCAGCTGGTACCTGTGTCTTCTGCTATGTGGTGCTTAAAGGGGTAGAGGTGGGCTGGTGTATATAATGGAAGGATATTAGGTGAATGTATAAAAGTAGAATAATAAAACCCATTAAATTATATAAGAGGAAAAGATGATAAAGAGTAACAGAAGGGTGAAGATGATTAAAGTACAATATATGTGTGTATGTATTGAAACATCACAATGAAATATTTCTTTATACAAACTATAGATACAAATAAAAATGTCAATAAAAAGTCCACTTACTATCTGTTCTAATGACAGTAGATTAGGCTTTAAATGGGAGATGGAGTCCCAGTGCAAAGGCTAGGGCTTTGTCTCCAAATTAGCCCAGTGACCTTGCTCATGAGAATTTATCTCTTGATTCTATTTCTCCTGTTGTTTTTTAATCTACATTTTATTGTAAAGGTGATGTGCAGAGGTGTTACAGTTACAGTAAGGTATTGAGTATATTTCTTTTTAAACAGTCTTCTCCCCTCCTTTGTTTTCTCCCACTCACCACTCCCCTTACCCCGGTACTCCTCTCTCCTAAGTTCTAACTTTTTTGGTTGGTTTGTTTGGTTTATTTGTGTGTGTGTGTGTATGTGT